CTCAGTATCACTTTCAAAATCAATATCCCATAACAGGGTTGGGGTCAATTTCAATTTAATAAATTCAAGATGTTAAAGAGATAGTTCGCCTGTTTTACACCTTTATAGTCTGATGGCTAAGAAAAAAAACTGTGGGTGATGGGGGCAATTCGACAAAGTTCAATGTTTGTGGCCAAATCCCCTCCAAGTTAATAGTGGCTTTTTTAAACAACTCTGAACCATGGATTACAGTTTCTCCTGGCCCATAGACTACTTTCAGGGTAAGGAACCATCTTACTGGCTATTAACTGTAAAAAAGTTAACTATCCCTTAATTGAATTTACAAATCAATCATTGCACATAGGGCTTAATGGTCAAAGATTTCTTATTAAATTGAATCTGATAAGCTGTTCACATAAATATTTAGGACCCCCAACCCCTAACTGTTATGTTGCTTTCCCTCCAAAGATGCTGTCAGGAAGCACTTCCCGGGTGCAACAAAGGGACAAGTGGGAACAGCTTAACCGTAAAATGGCTGACGAGAAGCGATGAGAGAAGAAAATTCAATGAATAGGATTAAATTACATTTCTTTTAGTGTTTTGTGTCGTTTGTTCTAATGTTTTATTACCAAGACTACAAGTATTACTGAAATAATGTTCCGGTATTATACGCACAGTTGAAGTCTGAAGTTTACATACACTAAGTTGACTGTGCCTTTAAACAGCTTGGAAAATTCCAGAAAATGATGTCATGGCTTTAGAAGCTTCTGATAGGCTAATTGACATCATTTGAATCAATTGGAGGTGTACCTGTGGATGTATTTCAAGGCCTACCTTCAAACTCAGTGCCTCTTTGCTTGACATCATGGGAAAATCAATCAGCCAAGACCTCAGAAAAAGAATTGTAGACCTCCACAAGTCTGGTTCATCCTTGGGAGCATTTTCCAAACGCCTGAAGGTACCACCTTCATCTGTACAAACAATAGTACGCAAGTATAAACACCATGAGACCACGCAGCCGTCATACCGCTCAGGAAGGAGACGCGTTCTGTCTCCTAGAGATGAACGTACTTTGGTGCGAAAAGTGCAAATCAATCCTAGAACAACAGCAAAGGACCTTGTGAAGCTGCTGGAGGAAACAGGTACAAAAGTATCTATATCCACAGTAAAACGAGAACTATATCGACATAACTTGAAAGGCCGCTCAGCAAGGAAGAAGCCACTGCTCCAAAACCGCCATAAAAAAGCCAGAGTACGGTTTGCAACTGCACATGGGGACAAAGATCGTACTTTTTGGAGAAATGTCCTCTGGTCTGATGAAACAAAAATATAACTGTTTGGCCATAATGACCATCGTTATGTTTGGAGGAAAAAGGGGAACGCTTGCAAGCCGAAGAACACCATCCCAACCTTGAAGCACAGGGGTGGCAGCATCATGCTGTGGGGGTGCTTTGCTGCAGGAAGGACTGGTGCACTTCACAAAATAGATGGCATCATGAGGAAGGAAAATTGTTGATATAGCCGAAACCACTAATTTGAAGGGGTGTCCACATACTTTTGTATATATAGTTTATGTGTAAATAACATTTTAGTAGACGCTCTTATCCAGAGCGACTTACAGTTAGTGAGTGCATACATTTTCCATACTGTCCCCCCGTGGGAATCGAACCCACAACCCTGGCGTTGCAAGCGCCATGCTCTACCAACTGAGCTACAGTCACATATATGAAAACGGACAATTCTTGTATATTTTAACATATACAGTGGCTTGCAAAAGTATTCACCCCCCTTGGCATTTTTCCTATTTTGTTGCCTTACAACCTGGAATTAAAATTGATTTTTTGGGGGGTTTACATCATTTGATTTACACAACATGCCTACCACTTTGAGGATGCAAAATATTTTATATTGTGAAACAAACAAGAAATAAGACAAAAAACAGACAACTTGAGCGTGCATAACTATTCACTTTAAGTCATACCACATATTCTCAATTGGATTGAGGTCTGGGCTTTGACTAGGCCATTCCAAGACATTTAAATGTTTCCCCTTAAACCACTCGAGTGTTGCTTTAGCAGTATGCTTAGGGTCATTGTCCTGCTGGAAGGTGAACCTCCGTCCCAGTCTCAAATCTCTCGAAGACTGAAAGGTTTCCCTCAAGAATTTCCCTGTATTTAGCGCCATCCAACATTCCTTCAATTCTGACCAGTTTACCAGTCCCTGCCGATGAAAAACATCCCCACAGCGTGATGCTGCCACCACCATGCTTCACTGTGGGGATGGTGTTCTCTGGGTGATGAGAGGTGTTGGGTTTGCGCCAGACATTTTCCTTGATGGCCAAAAAGCTCAATTTTAGTCTCATCTGACCAGAGTACCTTCTTCCATATGTTTGGGGAGTCTCCCACATGTCTTTTGGCGAACACCAAATGTGTTTGCTTATTCTGTTCTTTAAGCAATGGCTTTTTTCTGGCCACTCTTCCGTAAAGCCCAGCTCTGTGGAGTGTATGGCTTAAAGTGGTCCTATGGACAGATACTCCAATCTCCGCTGTGGAGCTTTGCAGCTCCCTCAGGGTTATCTTTGGTCTCTTTGTTGCCTTTCTGATTAATGCCCTCCTTGCCTGGTCTGTGAGTTTTGGTGGGCGGCCCTCTCTTGGCAGGTTTGTTGTGGTGCCATATTCTTTCAATTTTTTAATAACGGATTTAATGGTGCTCCATGGGATGTTCAAAGTTTCTGATTTGTTTTTATAACCCAACCCTGATCTGTACTTCTCCACAACTTTGGAGAGCTCCTTGGTCTTCCCGGTGCCGCTTGCTTGGTGGTGCCCCTTGCTTAGTGGTGTTGCAGACTCTGGGGCCTGTCAGAACAGGTGTATATATACTGGGATCATGTGACAGATCATGTGACACTTAGATTGCACACAGGTGGACTTTATTTAACTAATTATGTGACTTCTGAAGTGAATTGGTTGCACCAGATCTTATTTAGGGGCTTCATAGCAAAGGGGGTGAATACATATGCACGCACCACTTTTCCGTTTTTTTTTTTTTTTTCATTTCACTTCACTAATTTCGACTATTTTGTTAATGTCCATTACATGAAATCCAAATAAAAATCCATTTAAATTACAGGTTGAAATGCAACAAAATAGGAAAAACTCCAAGGGGGATGAATACTTTTGCAAGGCACTGTATGTACTTATATGTGCTTATATGTGTGGATACATATATAAGCATATATGGGCATATATGCTTCCACCATATATGCCCATATACAACATATAAGTAATATACATATATTGCCATATATTACCTTTCCATATGGGAGGCGGGGTTTATGACTTGGTGGCTTGGTAACTCGTGACAACCATGAGCTGGCATTAACATTTCTAAAGTGAGTAATATGACTTTAAATGATAGCAAAATTCATAATAATTAGAAATGCTCCCTATAAGTAGGTAAACTGTCGTGCAAAATAAAAAAGGGGCATACATAACCTGCGTTTGCTTGCATCTACCCTCCACTACCCCACTGACTGTACTTCAGTGGAGTTAGCTGAAGGGAGGAAGGCTCATAATAATGTCTGGAAGAGAGCGAATGGAATGGCATCAAACACGTGGAAAGCATGTGTTTGATGTACTTGATATACCATTCCACTGATTCAGACAGTACCACGAGCCCGTCCTCCCCAATTTAGGTGCCACCAACCTCCTGTGCTGTACTTGTTTAGCAGCATATGGTAACCACATTGAAATGTATCCATAGTTGGTAGACAGTTGTTATTAAATCAGCTTTCCTTACATCAGCGAAAAGTGCACAAGAAAGTATTAAATCGATTTGTTAGATGCTACCACCCCCTCCCCAAATAAATCTCTGTGGCAGCATGGAACCAATATTGCGAGGATGTTTAGCTAACAGGTGTGAAACACAGACAGGTGTGTGTGCAAAGCAAAAACATGCCATGGAATCCATGTTTGCTTTCGATTTGTGCAGGGGGGTACCTTCATTCGTATGAAAAGTGTCGCTAACAGTACAGTCATCTTTTTTTATTTTTATGTTTGTGCCTTTTTAAGGCTTCATCAATTAATTAATCAATCAACTAATCAATCTATCCATCATTCAATCATTTATAGGATAAGTTGCCTACATGGTTCTACTATCTGTCAAGTCTTTTGAGATCAGTGGTGTTTAAATAAATTAGACAAGAGAAAGTCTGGAGGGTGGAGGCTCTGTATACTGCACAGTTAGTATAGTATATATTATACTGTATAGTTTAACTTAGTATCGTATAATGTTACCGAATTGCCTTCCTATACTGTAGTAGTTTTAATCACAATTGTACCTCCAAATATCCACCTCAAGGAGTCACTCAAGAACCACCAATTCTGGTTACTGCAATGAAGTTATTGGCATAGTTTCTTTCCTCTCATCGCCTAACCCCTATTAGGCTACCACGGATGGGTGAAGGTGGGTGACTATAAAGGTTGTTTCTATTCTTGGTCAAGTGATATCTCTGTCAAATCCTCTCAGATGAAAGCAGGCAAGGAAAGGAAGCCTTCTATTGGGATATGATATCAACCTGTTTAAATTTCATCCAACTTTATTCAAAGAGCATTTACACTTCTCGATGTATTTCACACACAAAAAATTTACTAAAGGGAAATAAAACATAGATGAAAAACAGTGTAGAAGTGTTTTTCTAAATAACTCATAATAATGAAATAGTTAAAGGGGTGAAAAACTAAGAGCACTTCTGATGAAATCAGAGGCTGATCACAGGTGCAGTTCATCATCATCTCCAGCATGTGTCGCTCAACCACCAACGTTTCTCGAACACTCTTCAACCCACTCCTTCCACCAAACCAGAGCGTGAAGAAGACAGGTGCCATTTGGGAATTGGGACAGAACAAGCCCGTGTGTGTTTCCATCTGAGTGCATCGCTCTCTCTTTCTCAGTAGCCTACTAGTGTGTGTGCGTGTCTCAGTGTGTGTTGTCACTCTCCTCCAACCTACTCCCCGCTCAGCATGGCCAGATTTACACAGAGTGAAAGCAGAAGGCATCAGCAGCAGCAACATCATCCCCAGCCGCCTCATCCCGCCCACGTCAACCTGCTTCTACAGCAGCCGCTCTTACTTATCCCTCATCAGCATCAGCTCGATCACAGCCCGGTTCCGAAGCCCATGAACGGTCCCGAAATCGTCTCCATGCACACAGACAGCGGCGCCATGAAAGACCAGGACGCCATCAAGCTCTTCATTGGACAGATACCGCGGAACCTCGATGAAAAAGACCTGAAACCTCTCTTCGAGCAGTTTGGGAAAATCCACGAATTGTCTGTTCTGAAAGACCGATACACAGGCATGCATAAAGGTAGCGTTTATGTCGCCCCTGCGCATTCCCTTACAGATGGTCGTTACATTGTAATTAGGCTACTGTATTATTAAGATGTAATTGTCATCCGTATGACACGCAATAGTCATTCAATTTGTGTTCCTTTTTGTGATAGATTGTCTCTCATCATCTATTCTCTTTCGTGATGTCTGTAATGCAATAATGTGTTAGCCTACGCACCTTGTACTGAAAAGCCCATATGACTTGCAGAATAAGGTTGGATATAGGCTTAACATTATGACTGTAATTTCCCCATAATAATAGCATATCTGTTTTATTTTGGTTACACGCACCCACTACATTGGGGTTCTTCTCATCTCGATGTCTTCTCTCTTTTAGTGCGTAGGACTAGCATGTTCATGTGAGTTCATATAAGTAAAATGCAAGTTGGTCTCACAGCTAAAGGCTCGTTACACTTCCCAACACTTTTTTTCTTGCCCTAATTATTACACGCCAATGTTTACAGTTTGCCCCAGCTGCGCGCATAACATAGCGTTTATCCCCGCGCCATCGCAGTGTCATGATGCAAACGAAAATAGGGATTATTTTGCAGAACATCGGAACGTGAATTTTACCACGGTCACGTCTTTGCATCACATTGCATAGGCAACGCATACACGATCAACAGGATTTAGGCCTATGTCATTCATAGGCTAGTTGGCCTTTCCTTTTCCAATATGGCAAAGTGTGTGGGTGTGTGTGTGTGTGTGTGAGAGAGAGAGAGAGAGAGAGAGAGAGAGAGAGAGAGAGAGAGAGAGAGAGAGAGAGAGAGAGAGAGAGAGAGAGAGAGAGAGAGAGAGCACTTATGTGAGCAAGCTGCATTCATGTGTGTGTCTGTGAGTGTGTGACTAACCCTTGTTGGTCTGTTTTGATTGACAGGTTGTGCGTTTCTCACCTACTGTGCCAGGGAGTCTGCCATCAAAGCCCAGAATGCATTGCATGAGCAGAAAACCCTACCTGGGGTGAGTACTCCACCGCCTGAATACTGCCAGGGTTTTATATGGAATGAGAGATGGTGTGAAAGCTTTTCCCCAAATACCTCTGGGAGTTGCCAATTCCTTTCAGATTGCGGAGAATGAGAAAGAGGATAGAGGAGAGTAGAGAGAAAGGAGTAAGAGAGAGAAACGAGTGAGAGAGAGAGAATGGGGAGTGAGAGAGAAAGAGAGAGGACTGTACAAACAGCAGTGAACAGAGCCATGTAGACAGCTTCAGGCTGTTCACTCAGTGAGACATGTATGGAGAGAGAGAGAGAGAGAGAGAAAGGGGAAGAGAGGGGGAGGGGAAGAGAGATTGGGGAGGGTGAAAGGGAGAGGAGAGGGAAGGAATGACAGAGAGAGAGAGAGAGAGGGGAGAGAAACTGAAGAGTGAATCAGATAGCGAGAGAAAGCAGACAAGAAAAAAAGAGCTGGAGGAAAAGGATGAGGGAGGGATGAGAGAGAGAGAGGAGGAGAGAGAGAGAGAGAGAGAGGGGGATGGGGAGAGAGAAAGAGGGATGGTGGGATGGGGAGAGGTTGGAGGGGAGGGATGAGAGAGGGAGGGATGGAGTGAGGTTGGAGGGGAGGGATGAGAGAGGGAGGGATGAGAGAGGGAGGGATAGGGAGAGGTTGGAGGGGAGGGATGGAGTGAGGTTGGAGGGGAGGGGATGAGAGAGGGAGGGATAGGGAGAGGTTGGAGGGGAGGGATGAGAGAGGGAGGGATGGAGTGAGGTTTGCACCTGCTTTGTATGGGTACTCCTGTTGTTCCTGCCTTTTATATATCTGCCTGTGTGTGTGTGAAGTGTGTGTGTGTGTGGACATGTTTACCTGTGTTTGTGTGTGTGTGTGTGTGTGGCTGTGTGTGGCTGTGCTTGTTGTAGGTCATTGCCAAGTGGCAGCAGTGTAGAGTGAAGCATAATGTTAGATAAAACAATGTCATTCTGCTCCTCTGCTTTCCAGCCCACTACCCATACAGATAGAAAGAGGGAGGGAGAGAGGGAGGGAGAGAGAGAGAGCGAGAGATAGAGAGAGGGGGGGAAGAGAGAAGAAGAGAGACGAGAGAGAGAGAGAGGAGAGAGAGAGAGATGGAGAGAGAGAGAGCGAGCGAGAGGGAGGAGGGAGGGAGGGAGGGAGGGAGGAAGAGAGAGAGAGAGAGAGAGAGGAGAGAGAGAGAGAGAGAGAGAGAGAGAGAGAGAGGGGAGAAGCAAAGGGAGGAGGCAGAGAGACTCACTCACTCACTCACATAGCCTACTGTACTAGATGGGAAGTTAGATTGTGTCATATGAAATACTACAAAAGGGCCAACCCCAAACACAGCGTGAGATGACCAATATAACAGCTTGCTTTTCTTACACCCACTAACCCATATTGATGCCCCTCCTGTCTCTCCCTGTCTTTCTCTCTCCCTGTCTTTCTCTCTCCCTGTCTTTCTCTCTCTCTCTCTCTCTCTCTCTCTCTCTCTCTCTCTCTCTCTCTATCTCTCTCTCTCTCTCTCGTTCTCTCGCTGTCTCCCTGTCTCTCTCCCTCGTTTGGTCGCTCTCTCTCTCTCTCTCGCTCTCTCTCTCTCACTCTCTCTCTCTCGCTCTCTCGCTGTCTCCCTGTCTCTCTCCCTCGTTTGGTCGCGCTCTCTCTCTCTCTCTCTCTCTCTCTCTCTCTCTCTCTCTCTCTCTCTGTCACTCTCTCAGTGTTGTAACGATGTGCAAATATACTGAACAATATAAGCGCAACATGTAAAGTGTTGGTTCCATGTTTCATAAGCTGAAATAAAAGATCCCAGAAATGTTCCATACGCACAAAAAGCTTATTTCTCTCAGATTGTGTGCACACATTTGTTTAGTGAGCATTTCTCCTTTGCCAAGATAATCCATCCACGTGACAGGTGTGGCATATCAAGAAGCTGATTACACAGCATGATCATTACACAGGTGCACCTTGTGCTGGGGACAATAAAAGGCCACTAAAATGTGCAGTTTTGTCACACAACACAATGCCACAGATGTCTCAAGTTTTGAGGGAGTGTACAATTGGCATGCTGACTGTAGGATTGTCCACCAGAGCTTTCGCCAGATAATTTACTGTTCATTTCTTTACCATAAGCCGTCTCCAACATCGTTTTAGAGGATTTGGCAGCACGTCCAACCGGCCTCATAACCACAGACCACGTGTATCCACGCCAGTCCAGGAACTCCACATCTGGCTTCTTCACCTGCGGGATCGTCTGACCACCCAGACAGCTGATGAAATTGAGGAGTATTTCTGTCTGTAATAAAGCCCTTTTGTGGGGAAAAACTCATTCTGATTGGCTGGGCCTGGCTCCCAGGTGGGTGGGCATGGTTCCCAAGTGGGTGGGCCTATGCCCTCCCAGGCCCCCCCCCCATGGCTGCGCCCCTGCCCAGTCATGTGAAATCCATAGATTAGGGCCTAATGAATTTATTTCAATTGACTGATTTCCTTAGATGAACGGTAACTTAGTAAAATTATTGAAATTGTTGCATGTTGCGTTTATATTTTTGTTCAGTATAGTTGAAGTACAAAAGGGAAAATAAATAAACATAAATATGGGTTGTATTTACAATGGTGTTTGTTCTTCACTGGTTGCCCTTTTCTTGTGGCAACAGCTCACAAATATTGCTGCTCTGATTGCACACTGTGGTATTTCACCCAATAGATATGGAAGTTTATCAAAATTGGATTTGTTTTCGAATTCTTTGTGGGTCTGTGTTCTCTGAGGGAAATACAGTGGGGGAAAAAAGTATTTAGTCAGCCACCAATTGTGCAAGTTCTCCCACTTAAAAAGATGAGAGAGGCCTGTAATTTTCATCATAGGTACACGTCAACTATGACAGACAAATTGAGGAACATTTTTCCAGAAAATCACATTGTAGGATTTTTAAAGAATTTATTTGCAAATTATGGTGGAAAATAAGTAGTTGATCACCTACAAACAAGCAGGATTTCTGGCTCTCACAGACCTGTAACTTCTTCTTTAAGAGGCTCCTCTGTCCTCCACTCATTACCTGTATTAATGGCACCAGTTTGAACTTGTTATCAGTATAAAAGACACCTGTCCACAACCTCAAACAGTCACACTCCAAACTCCACTATGGCCAAGACCAAAGAGCTGTCAAAGGACACCAGAAACAAAATTGTAGACCTGCACCAGGCTGGGAAGACTGAATCTGCAATAGGTAAGCAGCTAGGTTTGAAGAAATCAACTGTGGGAGCAAGGAAATGGAAGACATACAAGACCACTGATAATCTCCCTCGATCTGGGGCTCCACGCAAGATCTCACCACGTGGGGTCAAAATGATCACAAGAACAGTGAGCAAAAATCCCAGAACCACACGGGGGGGACCTAGTGAATGACCTGCAGAGAGCTGGGACCAAAGTAACAAAGCCTACCATCAGTAACACACTACGCCGCCAGGGACTCAAATCCTGCAGTGCCAGACGTGTCCCCCTGCTTAAGCCAGTACATGTCCAGGCCCGTCTGAAGTTTGCTAGAGTGCATTTGGATGATCCAGAAGAGGATTGGGAGAATGTCATATGGTCAGATGACACCAAAATAGAACTTTTTGGTAAAAAACTCAACTCGTCGTGTTTGGAGGACAAAGAATGCTGAGTTGCATCCAAAGAACACCATACCTACTGTGAAGCATGGGGGTGGAAACATCATGCTTTGGGGCTGTTTTTTCTGCAAAGGGACCAGGACGACTGATCCGTGTAAAGGAAAGAATGAATGGGGCCATGTATCGTGAGATTTTGAGTGAAAACCTCCTTCCATCAGCAAGGGCATTGAAGATGAAACGTGGCTGGGTCTTTCAGCATGACAATGATCCCAAAACACACCGCCCCGGGCAACGAAGGAGTGGCTTCGTAAGAAGCATTTTAAGGTCCTGAAGTGGCCTAGCCAGTCTCCAGATCTCAACCCCATAGAAAATCTTTGGAGGGAGTTGAAAGTCCGTGTTGCCCAGCGACAGCCCCAAAAACATCACTGCTCTAGAGGAGATCTGCATGGAGGGAATGGGCCCAAAATACCAGCAACAGTGTGTGAAAACCTTGTGAAGACTTACAGAAAACATTGACCTGTGTCATTGCCAACAAAGGGTATATAACAAAGTATTGAGAAACTTTTGTTATTGACCAAATACTTATTTTCCACCATAATTTGCAAATAAATTCATTAAAAATCCTACAATGTGATTTTCTGGAAAAAATAATCTCATTTTGTCTGTCATAGTTGACGTGTACCTATGATGAAAATTACAGGCCTCTCTCATCTTTTGTGAGAACTTGCACAATTGGTGGCTGACTAAATACATTTTTTCCCCACTGAATGTGTCTCTAATATGATCATACATTTGGCAGGAGGTTAGGAAGTGCAGCTCAGTTTCCACCTCATTTTGTGGGCAGTGTGCACATAGCCTGTCTTCTCTTGAGAGCCAGGTCTGCCTATGGCGGCCTTTCTCAATAGGAAGGCTATGCTCACTGAGTTTGTACATAGTCAAAGCTTTCCTTAAGTTTGGGTCAGTCACAGTGGTCAGGTATTCTGAAACTTTGTACTCTCTGTTTATGGCCAAATAGCATTCTAGTTTGCTCTGTTGTTTTGTTAATTCTTTCCAATGTGTCAAGTAATTATCTTTTAGTTTTCTTATGATTTGGTTCAGTCTAATTGTGTTGCTGTCTTGGGGCTCTGTGGAGTCTATTTGTGTTTGTGAACAGAGCCCCAGTACCAGACTCCCTAGGGGACTCTTCTCCAGGTTAATCTCTCAGTAGGTGATGGCTATGTTATGGAAGGTTTGGGAATCGCTTCCTTTTAGGTGGTTGAATAATTTAATGGTTCTTTTCTGGCCTAATTCTGCTCTGCATACATTATTTGGTGTTTTACGTTGTACACTGAGGATATTTTTGCAGAATTCTGCATGCAGAGTCTCAATTTGGTGTTTGTCCCATTTTGTGAATTCTTGGTTGGTGAACGGACCCCAGACCTCACAACCATAAAGGGCAATGGGTTCTATAACTGATTCAAGTATTTTTAGCCAGATCCTAATTGGTATGTCAAATGTTATGTTCCTTTTGATGTCGTAGAAGGCCCTTCTTGCCTTGTCTCTCAGATCGTTCACAGC